TTAGATCTGGTTCAGTCCTGGTTTAATCCTGGTTTAGACCTGGTTCAGTCCTGGTTTAGTCCTGGTTTAGACCTGGTTTAGACCTGGTTCAGTCCTGGTTTAGTCCTGGTTTAGACTGTTGTTTTGACCTGAACATGTGTTGTCAGAGCTTTAACCTGCAGACAGAGACACATCCAAGTTTTTCTCGTTCTCAGTATATTTACTTCATGTAAAAGCTCCAGAATTCAGGTTCTGGCTTTTCGGTCGTGCTCATTCAGATCAGACAGAGGCATTTTAGTTTTAAACCAAATGGATTTTAGCGTCGAAACTGGCAACACAAATGAGAGAGTCATGTGAGGGTCATTCTGCTTTAAGAGAACCAAAGCACAACATGTTTCTGTGATAACAAATAAATCTGCATTTCAATTGTTATGAGTAAAATCTATTTGATCTTTTATTTGAGGACACAGTTAGGACGTGTTTATGAAATTTAAAATCTCAATCGTGCACAGTGTTGGGGAGTAACAGATTACATGTACCGGAGTTACGTAATCAAAGTACAAATTATGAGTAACTGTATTCAGTTACAGTTACTGTTTCAGTGAGTGGTAATTGGATTACAGTTACTTTGTTGAAATAAATGGATTACACAGAGGTATGTGCCTGTTTTTACATTTTGGACTATACCCCCCCTTTTTTTTTCCGTAATTCCACTCATTGCCGCACGCTACACCAGGTCTAAACCAGGTCTAAAACCAGGTCTAAACTAGGTCTAAACCAGGACTAAACCAGGTCTAAAACCAGGTCTAAAACCAGGTCTAAACCAGGACTAAATCAGGACTAAAACCAGATCTAAACCAGGACTAAAACAGGATTTAACAACCAGGACTAAAACAGGAATAAACCAGGACTGAACCAGAACTGAACCAGGACTAAATCAGGACTAAATCATGTCTAAAACAGGACTAAAACAGGACTAAACCCAGTCTAAATCAAGACTAAACCAGAAATCAACCAGGACTAAACCAGGACTACACCAGGAGTAATCCAGAACTGAACTACGACTGAACCAGGACTGAACCAGTACAACGTCAGGACTACAACAGGACTAAACCAGATCTAAACCAGGACTAAAACAGGACTAAACCCGGTCTAAATCAAGACTAAACCAGAAATGATCCAGGACTAAACCAGGAGTAATCCAGAACTGAACCAGGACTAAACCAGGAGGACTAAAACAGGACTGAACCTGTTGTGATTGTGATGTCTTTTACCTTTTTAGAACAGTGCGGGCTATTTAGAGTTTTCACAATTGAAAAAAACAAAACAAAACGCTTATATCTTTCTAAATTCAGTGCACAGACATCCAGACAAAAAACAAAACCTAGTTGAATAGTGAAGAGTGGACTATAAAACAGTGATAGCAGCTCTGTCCAGCATCACGTCTCCAGCAATAAAAGCAGCAGCAGCCCTCCCTCCCATTTTCAAACATGATTTACAGAGCCACTTTCTCCTCTCCTCCTCCACCTCCACCTCCTCCGGTCCCAGGCAGAGGGCCCTCCACACGCTCTCGTACTTATTTGGTGCTGTTATTTATTCATGGGGAGTCGGCCCAGCCCGCGCTCCATGCCACTGCACGCTGCTCTTTGATACCACAGACCCTTTTTTCCATGCTTCATTATGTAAAGTACAGAGGGTTCTGAATACGGGGGGGAAAATCTGTTTGGTAAAATGGGAGCAAGAAATGAACTCGGAGCAATGGTGTTGAAAATGAAAAATGTCTGGGGCAATCTGCAACTACAAGAAGATATCTGATATTTGATTGTAAATATACAAGTATGTGTCTTTTTATTGATAATGTATTAACTAAATATAACATTAACTACTGTTTTTTTTTTGGACTATAAGTCAAACCATCCAAAAAATGCGTAATGAAGTAGAAAAAACATATACAAGTAGCACCGGACAATAAGTTGCACTTTTTGGGGGAAATTTATTTTATAAAATCAGAGAAAAAGTTAAACCTGTGATATTCTTTCAAGTTGTTGACAAAAAAATCTAAAAAACTCATGTCGGTAACGGAGGGAATGAAATATGCAGCACTTTTTGGGCAATAAATACAAACAGTGATAACTAGTGGTTCTCACTTACATATCCTTAACAAACTGGTTTGAATATTTGCTTCATATAGTTTTCTACCATATGGTACAAGATTAGGTTGAAAAACCTCTTACTTTTTGAGTAATGAGATTTTTTATTAAGAAAGGTCATGGTAACGGAGGGAAAAGTAACGGAGGGAAAATTGTTCAAGCAAGTAGAAGGTGCATGATTTTGTATAATTTGTCTCTTTTTTCTTCTGAATACTTTAATATTACTTCAAAATGAAAGGAAACTATTTCTATAAAATATGTCAGTCCTTCCAAGCTAATTTTTATCATTTTAAATACATAAAAAAAAAAAAAATCATGTACCTTCATCAACAGTTCAAAGATGGAATAACACAAGATATGATGAAATACATCAGTTTATTTACATGATTTTCAGGTCTTTGAAATTTGGGAAATAATTTTTGTTCCATGTTTCATACATGGTCTGTTTAACAACATATGTAACTTTAGAACCAAAAATGGTACAGAAAAAAGGTAAACAGTTTCATAAACTAGAGTACATATGTATCTGTTCAATACATTTTTATATCAGATGCATTAACTTGAATTTTTGGCCTTGTTGTTTACTTCTGCTTGACCGGGCTCAAATACTAATGGTGAAAAATCATGAAACGCAGAGAGAAGATAAACTACTTAAAAGTGACAGGAGACACTGAAAATTCAATCAGAGGTGAAGCGTGGAATTTAAAGTAGTTTATTTTTTTAAGCTTTCTACCATCTGATAACATTGTTCCCTCATAAAAACATTCCTGAAGAGGTTTTAGTCATTCATCCATGCACGTTTGAGTCCCCATCCCGATCCCAAACCCTCATTACAGTTAACTAGACGCTCCCAGATGGCACTTTTCCATAAACCTACAAAAGCATCACACAAAACTGTACACTACAACTTCACAAACCTGATCCGATGTGCAGCAGTTTCATTATTTATTCATTATTTACTGAAGATAGCGCTCTGAAGGGGGAGTGACTTAAAGCAAAGAGGCACAGGGAGGAGAGAAGGTGAAACTTTTTTTGTTTTCGGCAAATATAGCATTTCTAAATCTATTTCCAGCAGATCTAAATATGTTATGTTTGCAGATAATCCCCCCTCGAAGTAGAATCCCACATCTTTTACTCGACGCTAATTGGCGAAGAAACCGAACTGAATTTCCGAGAGAAGATAAAGTCTTTAAAAGTGACAGGAAACATTTAAAATTCAGTCATGAGGCAACAGGAGGCAAAAGTGAAGCGTGGAACTTAATAGGATTTCAGCCGAGAGAAATGTGAACAGTCGGGATTCAGTTCAGTTAATTGAGCCTTCTAAAAATTTCTTTCGCTTTTAATTTGGGCCAGGCTCTTTCAGCGTTCAAAGAGTGGAGAGAGAAGAACTCGCTCGCACGGTCCTACGCCCCGGGTTAGCCTCCAACGATCCCAAAATGTGTCAAATCAAATACTAAGCACACAGGTACCGTCTGGGTCAGGACCCCCATTACAAAGAAATGAGAATCTCAGTCAAACTTCCCTGGTTAAATCAAAGTAAACACGTCAGGTTTGGGTGTTTAATCTTTTATGGCAGTGGTTTTCAAACTGTGGGTTTGAGGTGGGATGTGGATTTTTATACAGTTAAAATATTTGATGAATTATGTTCTGTGCAGGGGTGTAGTGGGCGTGGTATAAAAGAAAAAAATAGAGAGATATGAAAAAAATAATAGGAAATAGCTACAACTTAAATGTCAAACTGACAACAACAGTCTAAACCAGGACTAAACCAGGACTGAACCAGGACTGAACCAAGACTGAACCAAGAGGACTAAAACAGAACTAAACGGACTGAAAAAAACAACAGTCTAAACCAGGTCTAAACGAAGACTAAACCAGGGCTGAACCAGGACTAAACCAGGACTAAATCAAGACTAAACCAGAAATGAACTAGGACTAAACCAGGACGGAACCAGGACTGAACCAAGACTAAACCAGGAATGAACCAGGATTAAACCAGGATTAAACCAGGACTAAACCAGGACTAAACTAGGTCTAAATCAAGACTAAACCAGAACTGAACCAAGAGGACTGAACCAGGACTGAACCAGGACTGAATCAGGAATGAACCAGGACTAAACCAGGACTAAATCAAGACTAATCCAGGACTGAACCAGGACTGAACCAGGACTGAACCAGGACTGAACCAGGACTGAACAAGGAGGACTAAAACAGGACTAAACCAGGTTTAAATCAAGACTAAACCAGAACTGAACCAAGACTGAGTGTCGGAACGGGCCCAGAGGTGCACCCGTGTAGACTATCGGGTGACCGCAGGTGAAAGCACCGGCACAGAGCTCCAAGTGCAGCCGTCGGCCAATCGCGCTTTGCAGACACCCTGATCCACGGGCTCGGGGTTCTGCCTTTCTCTCAAGTCCAAGATTAGTCCTGTTTTAGTCCTGGTTCAGTCCCGGTTTAGTCCAATTATAGACCTGGTTTAGTCCTATTTAATGTTAATAACATGATTTTGCATCATTTTGAGTAAAAAAAAAAAAAAACATAAAATACTACAGATTTTTACTGGGCTGGAGCCTTTATGTTTGAACTGAAAGTGATTTTATTAATTTTTTTTATAAATAAACAATCTATATGAATCCTCTGTGTATTTCGGCATGTGGAGTTGAGTATCCTGTTTAGATTAGTTCGGAGTATAGAAATAGTCCAGTCCCATTTTAGAGCTGGAAATGCTCTAAAACTAAAACTTTCAACTTTAACTCAAGATAATATTGTTTTGTAATCCAGTCTATAATGACACAAGTTAAATAGTTGATTTGTTTTATTCCAGTTCTTTACAGGTGGAGTGTGTCTGACCTGAGGTGGAGTGTGTCTGACCTGAGGTGGAGTGTGTATCCAGAGGGCGCTGTTGAGCAGGACGTGGTCACACAGCTGTTTGAGGAGAGCGGCTCCGTGAGGAAGACTGTCCAGATATTTGGCGAAGGACAGGAAGTGCTCCAGGACGTCTCTGCTCAGGTGCTCACGGGAGGACTGAAGGAGACAAGGAGACAAAGAGATAAAGAGATAAGGAGATAAGGAGACAAGGAGACAAGCAGACAAAGAGGCAAGGCGACAAGGAAAGAAAGAGACAAGGGGACAAGGGGATAAGGAGACAAGGAGACAACTGGACAAGGGGACAAGGAAAAAAGAAAGCAAAGAGACAAGGGGATAAGGAGACAAGGAGACAACTGGACAAGGGGACAAGGGGATAAGGAGTCAAGGAAATAAGAAAACAAAGAGACAAGGGGACAAGGGGATAAGGAGACAAGGAGACAACTGGACAAGGGGATAAGGGGATAAGGAGTCAAGGAAACAAGAAAACAAAGAGACAGGGGGACAAGGGAACCACGAAACAGAGAGACAAGGGGACAAGGGGACAAGGAGACAAGACGAGACAAGAGGATAAGGAGAAAAGAAGACAAGGGAACAAGGGAACAAGAAAACAAAGAGACAAGGGGACAAGGAGACAAGGAGACAAGAAGAGACAAGAGCATAAGGGGACAAGGGAACCACGAAACAGAGACAAGGGGACAAGGAAACAAAGAGACAAGGGTACAAGGAGACAAAAAGAGACAAGAGGATAAGGAGACAAGGGAACAAGGGACAAGGGAACCACGAAACAGAGACAAGGGGACAAGGGAACAAAGAGACAAGGGGACAAGGAGACAAGAAGAGACAAGAGGATAAGGAGACAAGACGACAAGGGAACAAGAAAACAAAGAGACAAGGGGACAAGGAGAGACAAGAGGATAAGGAGACAAGGAGACAAGGAGACAAGGAGACAAGGGGACAAGGGGATAAGGGGACAAGGAAACAAAACGACAAGGGGACAAGGGGATAAGGAAACAAAGAGACAAGGGGCCAAGGGGATAAGGAGACAAGGAAATAAGGAAACAAAGAGACAAGGGGATAAGGAAGACAAGGAAACAAGAAAACAAAGAGACAGGGGGACAAGGGGACAAGGGAAATTCACTTTAGGTCATGAAAAAGTCATGGGAAAAGTTTGAAATTTTATCAGTGAAAATAAGTGGGAGCCCTGCATGTAGAACACCCCCAGCACGACGTCACTGCAAAGTATCGATAGACAACTCGACTGAGACTGTAGCGAGAATTTATATGGGACAAAAAAAAACAACAACATTTGGCTGAGAATAAAAGCGTGTTTATCTGCCTGGTGTGTCTCCTGTGTGGGCACGGCCGGTTTGGTTCGGGAGAGTGTGTCCCGAGCAGACGACGAGCAGATGGGACAAAAACAGGAGCCTGAAGTGGGACAGGAGCCAAAGTGCTCCCTGTGCTGCTCCGACTGCTCCTCTGTGAAAAAACCTTATATGATTTTTAAATGAGCTTTGGAAGATTATTAGAACACATTGTATTACGGGTGGTTTTAACGCTCAAAAATACCTAAAAAAACAGGCATTCTGACTGTGAGCGGGGTCGCCTCTCCGCAGATCTGACCTGTAACTTGGTCTGGTTTTGTCTCCGTGAAGATAGAAAGGTTTAAAGGTTGTATAGAGGATTTTCCAAGGAACGAGAAATCCAGCGACTGTTTGTCCTTTTTCAAATGTTGCGCATGTGTGAAACCACCCCCCTCCCCTACAGCTCCTACGTAGAAACGCCTCCTCCCTCCTCCTCCTTACGCCAGAAACAGGTTTGTTTACAGCCGGTGCTGCACATGACTTGTAAACAACTAACTACAGTGTTGGTTAGGCAAGACGGAGAAGTGAGGAGCAGGGAGAAGAGCGGAGCAGGGAGCAGGAGAGGAGAGAGGAGAGGAGGAGAGGGGAGATTCCGTGCCCGGAGAAGTGAGGAGCAGGGGGAAGAGCGGAACGGGCAGCGGGGAGAGGAGCAGGAAAGGGGTGCAGAGAAGGTTGCGCGGAGATCTACAACACGCAGCAGCAAGCGGACTCTTTCTTTGCCTTGAAAATTACGTTTTCAGACATAGGATCGTTTTCGTGTCCTGAAAAACGTTTGTCTAGCTCTTGGAAAAAAGTACGTTTTCATAATAAGCAGAAGTTTCCTGTCCAGGAGTAATTTGGCGACCAGTGCGTCAGTCTTTAGACCCTGCGTCTGCTTCAGTCGCGCCATCGCTGGAATGAATCTTACAAGAATCACCTTAGTTTGGCTTCGCTGCTTTTCCCCTTGTCTTCTTCTTTCAGCGACCTCAAAAACGGACTTTCTTTTGCGGCGAACTGCTCCTGGATTCTTGTCGCCATTGCAACAAACTTTGTGCGAACTGCGAGGAAGATATAGGTAAAAAAAAGCCGCTAAGAACTGTTGCGTTGGTGGAGTAAACAGCGTCTGTGCGTCTTGCGTCTGTGGACTGCGTGACAGACGTACGTAAACCACGTACCGGCGGCGCAGGCAAGTCAGTTACACTAGAAACGTAGGGAGTTTGATTGACAGCCTGTCAGCTCACAGATAACGAGGCAGTGTCGTTATCTATTGGCAAATGTTTAGCCCCACCACGTCCAGAGTTGATGAATTTTTATTCTCTTTTTTTTGGTCATCATAATTACAAGGCTACTGCACCTTTATAATCTATCATTGACAATTTGAAACAAAAAAAAATCCTCCATACAACCTTTAATGTCGTACTGTGAAACATTCCAGACAAAGCAATAACATCTACACGGAGAAAAACATTTGACGGTGTTTTTTGCTTGGGTTAAATAATTTGAATGTATTTGTTTGGAGGATAAGCCCCTTGAGATGTGTCACCATCTTGTTTTCAAGGGGGTCCTCATAAATACAACAACAAAAGACAGATACAGTCGGGCAAAGAGTAGGAAACATAAATTCAAATAAGCATCAAAACAACAAAATCAGCACAACCACAAACACACACACACACGCACAGTCACACAGTCACTCATGCTTGACTGTTTCACACATAATAAAACAAATTTGAAAAAAATAATAATAATAATAATAAATAATAATAATAATAATAATAATAATAATAATAATAATAATAATAATAATAATAATAATAATAATAATAATAAAAATAACAATAATTATAATAAACAGAGTTCAAAGATAATCACAGGATACAACAAGATAAACAACAAAATTCAAGAAAATAATCAAAAGCAATTACATGGGTTATGTAAATGTTGAACCAGAGCATTTTTAAATAAAGGGACAGAAGTTAAAGCACGAATCGATGAGGGAAGATTGTTCCAATCAGAAGCAGCTTTATATTTAAATGAGTATTTTCCAATTTGTTTTTTGACTCTTGGGACAACAAAAAATATCTGATCTGCATGACGTAAACTATAAGAGGATCTGAATGGAATTAAGATATTCAGGATAACTGAGATTAATACATTTAAAAATAAATAATAACCAGTGAAGTTGACGTCGGGAGGACAGATGAAGACAGGACAGCTGGTGATACATCGTACAGTGGTGAGTTCTGAAGGGACAGCGGAGAATGAATCTGCACAGACTGTTATAGATAAACGTTGAGTGGTTGGAGGATAGAAGTTGTAGTATTTTGATAAATGATATCGCAGTAATCTAAAATTTGTGAAAAATAACAAAATTGCAATTTCGATTAGATTTGATTCACGATTTCTCTTTTAATAATGTTGAAAACTTTTGTTCGGAGTTCACATTTTAAACACGTCCAGAAGAAGTGACAATAATGAATAAATTTATGAATAAATTGTAATCTATTTATCTATTGATTTTTTATTTTTTTTTTATCGTTTAATTTAGTATTTATTGTGTTTTTAGCGAAGCGTGATGGATGAATTAAATTATTTATTTAAGGAACAAACCATTCTGCATTGGAGCACTGTAACACTTTATTTTGTAATTATGTTTTTATATACGTTTATTGGACATAATTTGAATGAATGAAATGTGAAATGTGGGACCAGCCTCTCAAATCTGCAAAACAAATTTAGTTAAGGGTCAGAGTCCTGCACGGGTCATTTTTGGAGACCCGCACCCGCCCGTACCCGTTAACATTCCACCCGTTACCCGCTCGTGCCCGTGATAAATCGCACACAAATTAAAGCATTTTAACTGAAGCACTTTATTTTTTTTTCAATGCACCTCTCAATGAACAACAACGCCAAATGAGGATCGAATAGGCGGTTTGAATGCACATTTGTCTGTAGTTGAGAGTAAAATAAATATTCGTAAACTCTCGAATGAGTCCAGTCGTACATAAAATGCGTTGTGTGCATTTTATCCATCAGAATACGAATTGAAAAGTTAAGACATCAAGAATTACAATCACGAAATGAAAATTTACGATTACGCTTTCAGTAAGAATACGAATTCACAGACGCAACTCGACTGTCAAGAATACAACATCACTTCATCAGATGCTGGACTTTTGCGTCGCGGTACCAGGACTGAACCAGGACGAAACCAGGACTGATCCCAGGACTAAAACAAGACTAAAACAGGACTAACCTAAACTAACTAGGGACTAACCTAGGACTGACCAGGACTGCAATAAACCAGGACTTACGACAGGACTAAACCAGGGACCAGAATAACAGACTGACTTCAGAGACCCAGGACTAACAGGACTAAACCAGGACTAACCAGGACTACTAAACTGACTAAAAGAGACTAACTGACTGACTAAACAGGACTAAACCAGGACTAAAACAGGGACTAACCCAGGACTAAACCAGGATAAGGACTAACAGGATAAACCAGGACTAAAAAGACTAACCTAGAACTAACCAGGACTAACCAGACTAAAACAGACTAAACCAGACTAAACCAGGACTAAACCAGGATTAAAACAGGACTAAACCAGAACTAAACCAGGACTAAACCAGGACTAAAACAGGGCTAACCAAGGACTAACCTAGAACTAACCTAGGACTGATCCCAGGACTAAAACAGGACTAACCTAGAACTAACCTAGGACTGAACCCAGGACTAAACCAGGACTAAACCAGGATTAAACCAGGACTAAATCAGAACTAAAACAGGACTAACCCAGGACTAAAACAGGACTA